TGGGATGGACTGGGATGGACTGGGAATGGATTGGGATGGACTGGGATCAAACTGGAATGGACTGGGAATGGACTGGAAAGGACTGGGATGGACTGGGATCAAACTGGGATGGACTGGGATGGACTGGGATCAAACTGGAATGGACTGGGATGGACTGGGATGGACTGGGGATGGACTGGGATCAAACTGAGATGGACTGGGAATGGACTGGGATGGACTGGAAATGGACTGGGAGGGACTGGGAGGGACTGGGAATGGATCGGGATGGACTGGGAGGGACTGGGAATGGACTGGGATCAAACTGGGATGGACTGGGATGGACTGGGATCAAACTGGGATGGATTTGGGATGGACGGGGATGGACTGGGATCAAACTGGGATGGACTGGGATGGACTGGGAATGGACTGGGATGGACTGGGATGGACTGGGAATGGACTGGGATGGACTGGGATGGACTGGGATGGACTGGGATGGACTGGGATGGACTGGGATGGACTATGATTAAACTGGGAGGGACTGGGAGGGTTCCCAAGATTCTGTGGGCGTGTCCCTGATGCTGTGGGCGTGTCCCCAGCCCGGTGGGCGTGGCCAGGCGGGATTTCCTGTGGACACTGGGGCGGCCATTGTGGGTGTGGTCGGGGTGTGGGCGGGGCCCGGGTATGCCCAGGCATTTGTGGGCGTGTCCCTTACACTGTGGGCGTGTCCCCGGCCCGGTGGGCGTGGCCAGGCGGGATTTCCTGCAGGAGGCGCGGACCTTGGTGCGGCTGCGGGACCCCAACATCGTTCGGCTTTTGGGCGTGGTCGGGGCGGGGCCGGGCCCCCTCTGCATCGTCACCGAGTACATGGAGCACGGAGACCTGCACCAGTTCCTGGGCGGGCCCCGGGGACACGCCCTCAGGTTGGACACGCCCACTTCCGGTCACGCCCACTCAGACCACACCCATTTCAAAAGACACACCCACTTTGATTTGTTTTGTAATGGCATTTTTTGGGGTTCTGGCCCTTTAAGAGTGGCTCCTCCCCTTCCCTTTCACCCATTTAGGCCTCACCCTCAGGTTGGACACGCCCACTTCCGGTCACGCCCACCCGAGACACGCCCCCTTTTCAAAGACACACCCATATTTACTTGTTTAGGAGATTCAATTTTTGGGGTTCTGGCCCTTTAAGAACAGCCCCTCCCACCTATTGAGACCACACCCTCAGCTTGGACACACCCACGTCCGGTCACGCCCACTTTCAGTCACTCAGGCCACGCCCCTTTCAAAAGACACGCCCACCCCAAGTCACATTGTATAGCAATTTTTTTTGGGTTCTGGCCCTTTAAGAGCAGCCCCACCCTTTTAGAGCAGCCCCACCCACTGAGACCTCACCCTCAGGTGGGACACGCCCACTTCCGGTCACGCCCACTCAGACCACGCCCCTTTCAGATACGCCCACCTTGACTCATTTGCCGTCAATACTTTTTGGGGTTCTGGCCCTTTAAGAGCAACCCGTCCACACCCACTTAAGCCCCGCCCCCTTTCCCATTAGCTCCGCCCCTTCCTTTTAGCCCCTCCCCTTTTCCTTTCTCTTTTCTTTAGGTGGAAAAAAGGAGTTTTGGGGCAAAAAATGGGGGATTTGAGGTGGGGAAAAAAAAGATTTTTTGGTTCAGAAAAAGATTTTTTTGGGGGGAAAAAAGCAATTTTGGTGTAAAAAGGGATTTTTTTTGGCAAAAATCGGATTTTTTTTTGTTAAAGAAAGGGTTTTTTTGGAAATGGGATTTTGGAGTGTGAAAGGGGGATTTTTTGGGGGAAGGAAAAAGAAATTTTGCAGCTAAAAAGTGATTTTTTGGGAAAAAAAAGGAATTTTTTTTAAAATTTTTTTTTTTAAGAAACGGCTGTTTTTGGGAAAACAAGGATTTGAGGTGGGAAAAAGGGATATTTTTGAGTGGAAAAAGGAATTTTTAGGCCAAAAAAAGCGCAATTTTTTTTGAAAAAAAGCTATTTTTGGGGGGAAAATGGGATTTTTTTCAGGAAAAAACCCAGTTTTTATATAAAAACTGGAATTTTTTCCCTTTTTCTCCCCAGCCTGGGCACGCTGCTCCACTTGGGCGCCCAAATCGCTTCCGGGATGCGCTTCCTGGCCGGGCTGAACGTCGTCCACCGCGATTTGGCCACCAGGAATTGTTTGGTGGGCGACGGTTTCACGGTCAAAGTGGCCGATTTCGGGATGAGCCGGACGCTCTACGCCGGCCAGTACTACCGAGTGCGCGGCCAGGCCCTGCTGCCCATCCGCTGGATGGCCTGGGAGTGCATCCTCATGGTCAGTGAGGTTTTGGGGCAAAAAAATGGGAATTTGGGAAAAAAAAAATGGTGAAAATCGGTGAAAAAATGGTGAAAATCGGTGAAAAAATGGGAATTTTATGGGGAAAAATGGGGAAAAATTGGGGGGAAATGGGGATTGGGTGTGGGATGGTCTGGGAGTGCATCCTCATGGTCAGTGAGAGAAAAAATGGGAATTTGGGGAAAAAATGGTGAAAATCGGTGAAGAAATGAGGATTTTATGGGGGAAAATGAGGAAAAAATGGTGAAAAATTGGGGGGAAATGGGGATTGGGTGTGGGATGGTCTGGGAGTGCATCCTCATGGTCAGTGGGGAAAAAATGGGGAAAAACGGTGAAAAAATGGGGAAAATTGGTGAAAAAATGGTGAAAAAATGGGATTTTTTAGTGAAAAAATGGTGAAAATCGGTGAAAAAATGGGAATTTTATGGGGAAAAATGGGATTTGGGTGTGGGATGGTCTGGGAGTGCATCCTCATGGTCAGTGGGAAAAAAATGGGGAAAAATGGTGAAAATCAGTGAAAAAATGGGAATTTTATGGGGAAAAATGGGGAAAAAATGGGGAAAATCGGTGAAAAAATGGGGATTGGGTGTGGGAGTGCATCCTCATGGTCAGTGAAAAAAAATGGGAATTTGGGGGAAAAAAAATGGTGAAAAACGGTGAAAAAATGGGGGAAAATGGTGAAAAAATGGGAATTTTATGGGGAAAGATGGGGAAAAATTGGGGAAAAATGGGAAAAAATTCCCAATTTTTTTTTTTGGAATTTCCAGGGCACTTTCAGCCCGGCGAGCGACGCGTGGGCGTTCGGGGTGACGCTGTGGGAGGTGCTGACGCGGTGCCGGGAGCCGCCGTACGGCGCCCTGAGCGACGAGCAGGTGATCGCCAACGCCGGACACCATTTCCGAAACCTGGGCCGCCAGGTGCGAACTGGGATGGACTGGGATAAACTGGGAATGGATTTGGAGTCACTGGGATGGACTGGGAACCATTGGAAATGGATTTGGAGTCACTGGGAGTCACTGGGATGGACTGGGAATGGATTAGGACTGGATTGGGACTGGATTGGGACTGGATTAGGATCAAACTGGGATGGACTGGGATGGATTTGGAGTCAATGGGAACCACTGGGAATCGATTGGGAGTCACTGGGATGGACTGGGATGGACTGGAATGGATTGGGAGTCACTGGGAGTCACTAATAATGGATCTGGAATGGATTGCAATGGACTGGGAATGGACTGGGAACCACTGGGAACCACTGGGAATGGATTTGGAGTCACTGGGAATGGATTGGGAATGGATTGGGAATGGACTGGGACGGACTGGGATGGACTGGGAGGGACTGGGATGGACTGGGGAGCACTGGGAGCACTGGGTGACGAGCAGGTGATCGCCAACGCCGGACACCACTTCCGAAACCTCGGCCGGCAGGTGCGAACTGGGATGGACTGGGATAAACTGGGATGGACTGGGATAAACTGGGATGGACTGGGATAAACTGGGATGGACTGGGAACCATTGGAAATGGATTTGGAGTCACTGGGAGTCACTGGGATGGACTGGGATAAACTGGGATGGACTGGAATGGACTGGGATGGACTGGGAATGGATTGGGAGGGATTGGGAATGGACTGGGATGGACTGGGATGGACTGGGAGTCACTGGGAATAGATTGGGATGGACTGGGAATGGATTGAGAATGGATTGGGAATGGATTGAGAGTCACTGGGATGGACTGGGAATGGATTGGGAATGGACTGGGACGGACTGGGAGGGACTGGGAATGGACTGGGAATGGACTGGGAATGGACTGGGATGGACTGGGAATGTATTTGGAGTCACTGGGATGGACTGGGAATGGATTTGGAGTCACTGGGAGGGACTGGGAATGGATTGGAATGGATTAGGATGGACTGGGACAGACTGGGAACTATTGGGAATGGATTGGGAATGGACTGGGATGGACTGGGATGGACTTGGAGGGACTGGGATGGACTGGGAATGGATTGGAATGGATTGGGATCAAACTGGGATGGACTGGGAACAATTGGGAATGGATTGAGAGGGGTTTGGTGGAGGTTATGGGGCACTGGGATGGACTGGGATGGACTGGGATGGACTGGGAGCACTGGGGGCACTGGGTGACGAGCAGGTGATCGCCAACGCCGGACACCATTTCCGAAACCTGGGCCGCCAGGTGCGAACTGGGATGGACTGGGATGGACTGGGAATGGATTTGGGGTCACTGGGATGGACTGGGATGGACTGGGATGGACTGGGATGGATTTGGAGTCAATGGGAACCACTGGCAATAGATTGGGAGTCACTGGGAATGGATTGGGATGGATTTGGAGTCACTGGGATGGACTGGGAACCATTGGGACTGGATTGGGATGGACTGGGATGGACTGGGATGGACTGGGATGGACTGGGGGCACTGGGAGCACTGGGTGACGAGCAGGTGATCGCCAACGCCGGACACCATTTCCGAAACCTCGGCTGGCAGGTGCGAACTGGGATGGACTGGGAGGGACTGGGAACCACTGGGATGGAATTGGAATGGATTGGGAGGGACTGGGATCCACTGGGAATGGATTGGGATCAAACTGGGATGGACTGGGAGGGAATTGGGAATGGATTGGAGTGGATTGGAATGGATTGGAATGGACTGGGAGTCACTGGGAATGGATTTGGAGTCAGTGGGAATGGATTGGGAGTGGATTGGGATAGATTGGGATGGACTGGAATGGACTGGGATGGATTAGGATGGACTGGGACGGACTGAGAGTTACTGGGAATGGATTGGGATGGACTGGGAATGGATTGAGAATGGATTGGAAATGGATTGGGAATGGATTTGGAATGGA